CAAATCTTCAAACTAAATTTAGCGTTAATGTAAAAACAATGCACAGCACAGCTGTAACAAATAGAAGCTATGCTAAATATGTTGGCAGGAACCATCGGTATTCCTAGAAGGAAACCATTTCGGGAGTTGCAAACAGGTAGAAGCTTCTAGATCTGTATTCTGGTTTAGACTTTGCAGAGTAACCTGAGCTAAATATGATCCTGCAAAGTATTGACATACAGGAGCTGAATGCTAACTCGTTTCACCCACCAATAAAACAGTTTTCATTTTCCTTCCACAGAAGAATTATGTAAACATTGGTTTTGGTCTGTCACAGTAAATAAAACATTAAAGGGTTATGATGAGAAACTGAATGAAAGAGGAGAGGCTCATTTGAATTGATGATCTCTAATAGGACAGCAGAGTGTCGGTGAACTGTGTCAGCCCACTGAATGAACCTGTGCGGTGTAGGTTTCCTTTTGCCTAGAAGGTCAGAGGGTTGCCATGAATTAGAAATATAGTGATACTCCGACACGTCTGAGGCTGATCCTATCTCAGTCGGCTCCAATTTCTGCTGCACACAGTCTGCATTGTTACACGGCAACGGTCATTGGTCTCCTATCCATTGGCCTGTGCTTTCCTTTCATCTTTCAGGCAAATTAGACACAAATGTAAAAATTTCACATTGCATGATATTCAAGTTAATTAATTCTGTGTCCGTTGCAGTTAATTGTCTCCCTCATGACTATAGTAGCTCTGATTATTTGGACATAAACACAGCAGGTCTTGTTATTAGCCCACTTTTAACCAATGAGGATGGCCATCTAGGTTTCTAGCAGCTTTACATAATTATTTTTATTACTGAAAGTGTTTATATATAAAACCAACTTTTTTAAAGTTTTAAAGAACATCTTTATTTTGATCTCTCGCTCAAAGTTTCCTATAAAAGCCTTTGAAATTATTTTACTATTTTGAATTTGAAGAGAGGTTCTTTACAAGTGAGGATTTGAAGGTAATGTGCTAAAAAAATAAAAGCTGCATCTGAATATCTCCTCCTCCTCTCTGCTTGATAAACCCCTCCCCATGTCTTGTATCTTCGCTATTTTAACCAAATGAGATAGAGACCACCATGGAGGCACCAGGGAACGTAGTGTCACCTCTATTTTAAGTCTGTTGTGTTCAGCCTCCTGGAGCTTTAGTCACCAAGAGGTGTTAAGACTCTTTACTCTGTTTCATCTCTGCAGCGATTTCCTCCTTCTTTGCTTTGTTTACAAGCTGGGAGGGGAGCAGATTTCTGATTTCTTGATGCTTATTCAAATTAAAGTCTTTACTGGGTATAATGTGGTTTCTGGGCTATCTGTAACGCCCCATTATATTCAGAGAACAGAGGTTTGTTTGGCTTTATTGCTCACTCAGAGTAGGATCTGTGATGGGTGTGAAAGAGGGAGGAGTTCAGCCCGGGTTTTATTAGTCTACCCTGCAGCGCCCGGCTCTATCTAAAGTGGCCCTAATGACAAATATTTTATTTGGCCACTTGTTTGTTAGTACAACTAGAATACAAGTTAAATCATTTTCAATGTTTTGACAATAATCATGATGTGATTCCTGAAGATAGGTGGGGGAAAATATAATCAAATATATAAATGTGAATGACCCGTTAATCAATATATAAATGTACCATTAAATATGTATACTTTTACATTTCTTAATTTATCTTATATATTATTAAAGTAGTAAATGTAGCATTAAGTTGTACCTGAATTTAAATTGAATTTACAGCTAAATGTTTAAAGATGCATTGAAAATGGATTGATCCAACTCCACCACTTCCTGAACTTCAGCAGCTTCTTTGTTTCCTGTCTTACGTTATTGGAGGCTGATTTTTCCAGGTGTGTCTGGTTAATGTCGTCACGTTATCATCCAGACTCTAACTACTCACTGATACGGACTCCTTTCCAGAACAGCAGCGACCGCTCCTCAAAAACACATTTTAAAAAGTCCTTCCCTTTTCTTTTCCTACCTTCTACATCTAGTTATGATGTGATCCTAATATTGTCAGCTCCTGTTATTCAATTCAGTTTATTTATTTAGCACCAATTCACAACACATGTCATCTCAAGGATCTTTATAGTTCAAATAAAACCAGTTGATTGCATCGACTCATTGACTGAAATGCAATCCCTCACACTAAGCATGCTTGTAGCGAAAGTGGAGAGGGAAAAACTCCCTTTTAACAGGAAGAAACCTCCAGCAGAACCAGACTCGGTGTGAGCGGCCATCTGCCGAGGCCGACTAGGGTTCAAGGAGATGGAAGCAAAGTTATAAAAGGCAACTGTAAAAGGCGGCCTCGTCCAGGAAAACACAGCCAGGCAGACGTGCTCCGAACCAAGTCCCATATCAGAGGATGAAGAGAGCACATCCAGCCAGTCACAGTCAGAGAAACAGGACTACACTGGAAAAACAGGCCGATCTCCAACATCTATAAAGAAAGGTGTTGATGGCAGCAGCACAGCTGATATTTCTCTCCGGTATGAGGTCACAGCCAGACAGGAACAGACCAGATGAAGCTACTATGTGAAAAAGCAAAGAGAGCATAACATTAGAGATTGAACTAAAAGATTCTGCAGAGTGGGAGAATAGAGAGAGAGTGATGAAATAGGGGTCCCTATGTCCTCCAGCAGGCTAAGCCTATAGCAGCATAACTATAGAGATAGCTCAGGGTAACCTGAGCCACTCTAATTATAAGCTTTATCAAAAAGGAAAGTTTTAAGCCTAGCCTTAAAATCAATCAATTGAATAACTTATTTAATTCATCACTTATTACTTAGGTAAACCGTACGCTGCTGGGTCTCGTCTACATTGTGGTTTTGCCCATGCGGGTCACGTTGGCTCTGTGAACTGTTCAAACTGGAGTCTGATGGTGGCAAAAAGAAAAGAAATGAATGTGCTTTTAGGGGGATAAAACAGTTCTGATCATCAATATCTGCAGTGTTAGCGCAGCCTTAGACATGTCTGAACACGTTCCCACGCTTTCATCTTTCTGATGAAAACAGCTAGTTTGAGTCTTCTTCTTTCAGTAACGGCATCTACACCGAAGAGTGTTGCTGTCTGCACACATCCCAATTAAAATGATGCCGTCTGATTGGAAAAAGATTAAGTTGTTTAATTTTTTTTTAGTTTGTCTCCTATCAGGATCTAATCATTATAAAATCTGATTCTTTGGTTTTCCTTTTCTTTTTACTTTTTCAGATACTCTGTGTATCAACAAGCTTGCTGCTGACTGACTTCTCCCAGTTTGTGCTGGAGCCTCCTGCTTTGCATAGTTTAACAGACTAAATCACGAGTCAGCGCTATTGTGGAGATATTTGGCTTCAGTTTGTGTTTTTCTCTGAGGTTAAACGGGTCAAAGTTAGCAGAAATGACAGGAGTTTAGCTCTATATGCTTTGAAATGCTGGTTTGTCCAGTTTGAGCCTTCCAGATAAAGAACACCAGTTATATTTAGTTCTTAGTGAGGATTTAAAGCAGGTCCACATTTCTGCTGTGTAGCTGGGATACTGTACATGTTCCCACTAACAATAGCTAAATGATGAGATAATGCGCTCAAGTTTAAAGTCACTTTTTCTTGAATAGATTATATTTGGTGCCAGACTGATTTTTCCTTTTTTTTTGTTCTGGCTGTTGATGTAATCCTCCATCCCTCCACGCTCTCTGCTTCACCCCTAAACCACTCCCTGTGCTCGTTACACAGAAATACAAAACACTTAACAAATTAGTCAGCTGGCTATGATGATTAAGGGTGTTTTGAGCTTGTTTTGTGTTTTCTTTGTTTGTTATTACTGTAGTCATATTTATGTTGGCGCTACTTCACACATCTGTTTTACGTTGAGATGCTGTTATCCAGCTGCACGTGCTGAGAGGCCCTGGAAGGGGGTCGACTTAATCGGCGGTGTACATTTTGTTCCATAGGCGGCCATCGAGCAGAGGTGGTTGTTTCTGAGCTAACATCCAGAGCAGGGTTTCACACATGGGAAAGCTTTCCACTCATCTCACTTTCTTTTTCTCTCTCTGGTCTACTGGGATACTGGGTTACTGTCACTATAAATATACATTCATTTCCAAACCGTTCTTTACCACCCTCTGCTGTAAATCAGTGGTATTGCAGCAAAATTAGTAAGTTTTTTTTTTCTTTTACTGAGTTCTTTGTGGCTGTAGAGAGAGAAACGGATCCATTTCTTCCCAGCAGGAAAAAAGCCAAATAATAGTATTTACCTTGAACTATTTAGAGCAGAAAGATGCAGGCACAACCTCATTAACTCCCAAGCGGCAAAGAAGGATGTAAAAATAAGTGAAAGTTTCCTGAAATAAGTGTATTTGCCCTTCATTAGAGCAGGAAGTAAATAATAAAATAATAAAACAATACATTTAATAAAAGATAACTAAAATGTTCTTATTTAAAGTGCAAAAGTGTATTGTTTTTATTACCTTACCCATTCAAATTTAACATAAATTAGTGTATTTCAAGAAATTTCAAATTACTTTTCTTTAATTTTCTCAGTAAAACTTCACTAGCAGCATTAAGTGTTTCAGCTCTTCATCAGGAATTGGGTTTAAATTAAAAAGTAGAATGCATATAAAACATTTTTTATTTAATTTAACAGTTAATCCCGCTGACCAATTAGTGGGACAAGGATCTGGTAGATTTTAAGGCGGCATTACCTGATAAATTTCAGCGCAGTTTATTTCCATAGATGTACAGAAAAAAGCAGACATGTTAAAATCACTTTTGCATACATTTTTTAACCCCTTAACTAACTGTTAAACATGTATACATTATGGAAAACATGCATCTACTTTAATCGATGGAGATTATTTCATAATCATATCCAGGATGCCTCTCTCACTTGGTGGAGAAACAATGGAGGGGTGTGAATACTTTGCTGTTTATACACAATGGTTACGCTGGGATTTTTCTAAAGTTGACATCATCTGCACTGCCTGAACTCTGGTGCTCCATCGCCAGATCTGCCTGGAGACAGAGCGCCTCGGCCCCCGGCGCGTGGAAAGCCTGAGGAAAGAAGACGAGGAGTGGCAAAGGAAGGCTCACGCTGCCGTGCTCTCCATCCAAGAGCTGACGGTGAAGTTCTTTGAAACCACAACCCGAGCTCAGAAAGGTAAACCGAGACGCAGAGCATTTCCTCTCATCGTGGGAAAATGCCGAGCTCTATTTGTGTCGACATTTAAGCATTTCCTTTTCATGTTTACATGACACAAACTGTTTCGAGGTCATTTCTTGCATCAAAAGTTCATGAAGCAACTTTTAAACTGGAATAAAACTGAAACCTGCCTGGAAATCTGCTAACAGAATCAAACTTTTCTGTTTCTGCTCCCATCACAGCTCTGTATGAGCGGATGCGTGCAGACCAGAGGAAGTTTGGGAAGTCGACGTGGGCCGCGGCCATCGAGCGCATGGAGCGGCTGCAGTACGCCGTTTCCAAGGAGACCCTACAGCTCATGAGGGCCAAAGAAATCTGCCTGGAGCAGAAGAAGCATGGCTTGAAGGAAGAGGTAGGGCATGGAGTTAATGCAGTTGAAGCTTATCAGAGGGGTTTTCTGTGTTAGATGGATGCTCTGGGGGAAAAAAAAGACTTGATGTTAAAAGACGAAGGAAATAAACAAGATAATAGTGTTGGAAAATTGACGTCATTGCTCTGGCATCCTGAGATGGAGGGATCGACATCCTGCTGTAGAGCAGTGGAAATGACTCACTGGGAATTACAGTCAGGTCAAATGTTTGTTTTGTTCATGTCATCTCTGAAGCTGAACACCATGAAACATGAATCCGCCTTAGTTCCCATCAGATCTAACTCAGACCAGAAAAAAAGGCGCAGTCAAATCCTGATTATGGAGAATCAGCTAGTCCTGCAGCCCGAGGGGCTGGTGTGGCGCCGCGTAATGCTGAAGCCGTGCTTTTCTGTTTTCAGATGCAGAGTCTGCAGGGCGGGGAGGATGCAATGAAGCGCCTGGACCAGCTGGAGGCGCTTTACTACGAGCTGCAGCTGCAGCTGTACGACATTCAGGCCGAGGTGCTGCGCTGCGAGGAGCTGCTGCTGACTGCGCAGCTGCAGAGTCTGCGCAGGCAGATGATGGGTGAGCATCTTCACAGGTTCTCTCTCTGCAGTTCAGCTTGCAAACAATAAGTAAAGAGGAGAAAAATATCAATTTTACTATTAAATAAAAACCTGATTCTGCCTGATTTATTAAACTGTTTTTCTACCAGAGCAACAGGATGAGGTGGTTTACTATGATGCTTTTGAGAGTCCAGATGCCATGAAGGGTGAGGAAGAACCTGCCTCCCCACCGTCGCCCCTCAAAGATGAAGAGCTGTGCGTCCTCCAGCAGAGGACGCGGCAACTGGAGGCCCGGAGGGGCCGCATCACCGCCAAGAAAGTCTACCTCAAAAACAAGAAGGTTGGATCCTTCTGCTGCTTCAGATCTTGACAGATGTTACCAGTCAGTGATCTTAACCTTTTTTTCTTTTTGTTATTAGGAAATCTGCATCTTTAATCACAACCAGAAAATCCAGCAGCGCCAAGGAAGCAATGCAGACTGCAGCGCTCTGCAGCAGGTTGGATCAAATCATTTGCTGCCTGTTACTCCATGCATGAACATCCGTTACTCCCCTGATATAAACGAATGACTCCTTACAGATTATTTCAGCTCATAGAAGAGAAAACGACTCTTAGACAGCACCTTCTTATTGAGGCAAATGGTTCTTTACTTCTTTGATTCAAATATCAACTGTTTAATTTTAGTTTTGAGCAGATTAAGACCAAATTGAAACAATACTTTAATTATTGTTTTTTTCATTGTAGTTTTGTCAGCAAACTTTAAAAAACATTAGTTTCATTTACATGAAAACAAATAATCGTATTGAAGGCCTGATCAGATCAACAATATTTAATGTAAACATTGTAAACTGATGATTCTAATCTGATCCAATCAGAAAGAAATTTTATTCATCAAGAGGAGAGAGATTAACTCAATTCAATTCAGTTTATTTCTATAGCGCCAATTCACACCACATCATCTCAAGGCACTTTACAGTTCAACAGATCATACAGTCAAATCGATTCAAAGTTTTCTATCCAAGGAAAACCAGTTGATTGCTTCGACTCATTGACTCGAATGCAATCCCTCACACTAAGCATGCTTGTAGCGACAGTGGAGAGGAAAAACTCCCTTTTAACAGGAAGAAACCTCCAGCAGAACCAGGCTCAGTGTGAGCGGCCATCTGCTGAGGCCGACTGGGGTTCAAGGAGACAGAAGCAGTGATACAAGAAGCAGCTGTAAATTAACTCACCCATTCAGATCTTTGGAGTAAAATAATCTCCACTGCTTATATGTAAAACCCCTATTTATTTCTCCACCATCTTCCCAGAAAATCAGACTGGTCTGTGCAGGTTTAAACGATTTAATCTGTAGGAACGCTTGGTGCATGTTTACACACATCATGATTCATGATTAATTTAGTGTCAATATAAAAAGAGATGTAGAATTTCCCATCAACCAACGTTTAGATCAGCTCCGGGAGATTTAGCGTATTTAAATGTAGCTGCTGTAACTTTTGGCCTCTAGAGGCACTAGACCTGCACATTCTAGATTTATCCTCTGAAAGAAAAAGGCAACACTGCTGCAAATTAAACCGTTTTCCTCAGTATTTTGGTATCTGAGATTATCTAACTTTGGATCTACTGACTGAGAAGTCTGGATTTGATCTAAAGGGGCGAAGGTGCCCCTTTAGATCAAATATGACTATAGTCAGTCTGGGATCTTGGATCGAACTCGCTCTAGTTATATAGGCGAGTTTTTGAGAACAGCAGCTGTGTCAGAGCATCAATAAACACCAAGAGCTGCATATTGATCTGTAAATCATTTAATATATCTTAAATTTAGGCTAATCAATGCAATAATTAAAATCAAAGTAATTCAATATGTCTTTAAAATAAGTCAATTTTCACTGACTTGAGGAGATGGTGATACAATTTGCCAATGGAATAAATTATTTTCATTTAAAATAAGAAGGTGCATATTATCCAATTATTTTAAGGGCAGAAATACTCATTTCTATTCATCTTATTTACCTGCCAAAAAATAAGCAAAATTACACTTATTTTAAGAAAGGTTTTAGATATTTTTTTGTTGGGTACTTTGGTCAAAATTGATGATTTAATGTAATGATCATGTGTACGGATATGAAGATTCTTAAAAAGTGGAGAACATCTGGATTAAGCTTGAAGCTTTTTGGGTGTGTTGCTTTATTTCTGGACGTTAGCTGGACGAACATACCTCGGTCTGAACCCCCCGGTGTTATGTTTAGGGTCGTTTTCCTAATCTGGTAGCGGTGCGTTCAGGGGATTCTGCAATAAGAGGTTTATCCCAAACAAAGCTTAAAAGTTTTAGTTACATTTGGCTGGAAGAAAACTTTTGTCAAACATTGTGCTGAACCTGAAGTATGGTTTTATTTGTTTTATGTAAGGGGGGAGAAGCTGCACAAGATGATGAAGCAAAGAGAAATGCATCTGTGAGTCAGGACAGGCAGAGGACTCTGGACAGACTTCGCAGCCTGAAACAGGTGACGCTTCAGTCGCAGCGCTGCGCTTTCAGGATGAACTCCCCCCGTTTCCCTGCTGATGGTTGGTTTTGTCTTCTCTGCCCGCAGCGTTACCCGGGTCAGACTCTGAGGTCCAGCCGTCTGCGTCTGACTCAGACTCACAGCCGGAGGCGAGCGCCGCAGCACAGCACCCAGGCGGTCAGCGTCCAAACCGACTCCATCTCCGACCTCCCGGAACTCTCCGCTCCGCCTCCCCCGGATGTCTACAGCTGCGACGGCGCCTCGCTGCCATCCATCGCCATCCAGAGCGTCGAAGCTCCGCCTTCCTTCCTCTCGCTGCCTCCCCTCTCATCGTCTCCTTCCCCGTTCCCTATGGTGCCATCTGTCGCACCTCCTCCTCCTCCCCCTCCGCCGCCTCCCCCACCTCCTCTGTCGCTCCCTCCCATAGAGAACCAAACGACGAGCCCTATGAAGCAGCAAACGTGTGAGGTGTCAGAGTGCACCTCGCTGCCGCTGGCTCCGTTCTCCCCTCGGTTCTTTGACAGCAGCCAGCTGCTGACAGCGAGGAAGAAGCTGAGGAAGACGGCGTCTCTGGACTCCTCACAGTGGAGGAAGGGTGAGGAAAACCAGGCCTCTCTGCCCACCAGGCCGTAGCTCCATGGGGCCTCAGCAGAGTTAGATTTAAGATCCATATTCCTGTTAGAACTTCATCACAACTCTAGGAGTCCAATATAGATTAGTTTTAATCTGAGTGGGCGGGGCCAAGCTTGATTGGCTAAATTTTAAAGTTGCTCCCAGATCATCTGTTTGAACATTTGTTTTACCCTTTAAGAAGTAACCTTCAAATTATTTCATTCTGAAATTACAATCTTAAATGATTAAAAATAGTTTAATTTATCAACGATGAAGCTGCAATATTATTTTAATGGGATTGAAAAAACAAATCTAAATTATTTAGATCTATAATCTGTGTAGTTATGGCCCCTCTATTAGGTTGGGGGCTGAATACAGAGCCTTAGCTCCACTTCCTCAGTGGCAGTGACTGTAAGAAAGAAGTCTGTGTCTGTTATAAAAGGTGCAAATGTTCATTTGGAAAGTTTTGAGGATTTATTTGATCACTTCTTAGACAAATTAGTTAGTTCCCAATATTGAATGAAGTAAAAACTCCATAATCTGGTAATCAGTCAGTGGGCCTATATATAAGTCTACCACACTCAACATGGACCAGAGGAAGAGAAGGAAAGTTTGTCTCAGATTAGAAAGAAAATTATAGACAAGCATGTTAAAGATAAAAACTATAAAAACATCTTGAAGAAGCTTGATGTTCCTGTGATTTGGAAAAAAAGGATTTATTTATTGAGGGGACTGTAGCCAACCTCCCTGGACTTGATTGAAGGAGAAACATTGATGAAAAATCAAACAGACGGATAATAAGAATGGAAATTTAGCCTAGAATAACTTCTCAAGAGATTAAAGATGAACTTCCAGCTTAAGGAACATCAGTGTCAGCTCTATGGCTGCAACTAACAATCATTTCCTAACCGATTAATCTGTAGATTACATTTTAGATTATTTGATTTTTTGATTGATTAAATTGGATTAGGGCTGAAACAGTTAATCGGATTAATTGCGATTAATCGATTATTGAGATAATCGTCAACTAATTTAATAATCAATAATCTTTAACTTGAGTATAGAGATTCTAAGACATGCATTAAGATGACAGAGCAACTCACTTAGAGCAGTAATTATATCAAAATTGGAGAAAAAAAAATACAAACATTTTGCATTTACGGTAAGATAAAAAAGAAAAAAAACTTTACCCGATTATTAATTGAAAATAATAGACAGATTAGTCCATTTACAATGTAATGGTTAGTTAAAGCGAGCCCAAAGGGTTCCTTACAGAAGGTCTGTTTACAGAATTTAAACCAGGTGACACTAAACATTTTCCACTTGAAGAGTTCTGGATAGATTATATTCATGGTTTAAAATGTTTTTTTTAATCAAAGTGTTTACTCAAAAATTTTTCTTTTTACAATTTTGTTATAATTACTGCTCTAACTAGGTTGCTATATGTCAACTAAAAGCATGTTTTAGAGCAGAGGTGACAGATTATGCGACTGCAGTCCGGATCCGGACCGACCTGCTGGCTAATCTGGACCCAACCTGATTTAAAACATTTATAAATGACTCCATGTTGTCTGACCACAGTGTCTAACTTTACTTGCACCTCTTCTCCTGTTAATACGGTAAAGCCTTCCGTAGTGTCGGGACCAGGCTACACGTGATACAAATTAGCCAATCAGCTGCTCAGTCTGAGTTGCTGCTGCTGCTCTTTTTAGCCGGGTGATGGGACATTAACCTTCATTTGTTAGAATTTTATTTACCTCAAAGGTCTTGGAGGGGTTACTGTTCCAGGTGGTTAAATTCCAGGAGTTTAAGGTTCAGGGTGGCATCGTGGTTTAAGCCGCTTAGAGTGTCATTTCTTCCCAATAAAGTGTTCCTTTAATGTCTGGGCCGTTGTCTTCGCAGCGAGCTCGCCGATGGACGAGGTGTTAGCTTCGCTCAAACGGGGCAGCTTCCACCTGAGGAAGGCTGAGCTGCGGGTCCTCGGCCCCGACCCGGACGACGACAGCAACAACATCCTGGCTCAGATCCGACAGGGCGTCCGCCTGAAGAAGGTCCGCACCCGACCGGAGCAACAGCGCCACCCCAAGAGCTTCCTGCACTCGGCCGACGCCCTGACCCGCAGCATCCACGAGGCTCTGAGGAGAATCAAAGAAGCTTCTCCCGAGTCGGAGTCTGAAGACGAAGGCCTTCCCTGCACTGACTGGGAAAACTGAGGCGCTTTAAGGGAAGAGATTTAAATGTTTTGTTTTTATACCATTCTGTGCAGCCAAATCAAAGAGGAAACGAAGGGCTGGAGAAGCAGACAAGCCGGGGTTTCCCAAAGGCACCTCGGTGCTGTCAGAACAAAACAAATCAGCCGTGTTTTCCTTTTGTACTCGTGTTTGTAAAGAAAACGATTCATTTTGAACGCGTTGCTGCCGCGGCCTTGGCAAAGGCCGCAACCTCTGACCTCCTGTTACATCAGAGTCGTACTGTAGCTCGTTGTGATGGGTTTGTTAGCAGAAGGAAACCTCTCTGCTGTGAACATTTATTCTACGCCAGCTTCTCACTGAAAACATTCACTGTATAGTTTAAACTTTGGTGATGGAAGCATCATCAATTTCTCTTTTTTGTACACTTAGATATATGCAACCCCTCCCACTAATTGAAGTGGCTTTAAATTGATAATTTTTTGTAGTTATTGCCTTTAGGGAAGGTATCTCTGCTCTGCCTGAGCTTACAGCCGGTTAATAGTGCACAGATTTAAATCATCATAGGAACCTGTGAAGGAAAATCACATGCCGTTTATGCCAGGTCAGTATTTTGATAAAATACCTTAATCTCTAAGATGAGGGGTTCTTTGGTGTAACTGATTTCACTGCCATATAAGTTAAAAGAGATATTTACTGTACCGTTTACCCATCAGCTCAGTGGTTGGTGACCTTCACTGGAGAGCAGACGGAGTATTTCAGGTTTAGAGAACACGTCTGGTTTGGATGCAGGTCAATAAATCTAGATTATCCAGCCAGAGATTATTTGACATGGATTAATAATTGTTTAGAGCACATTTTTTTTATCTTCTGACACCTGTTTCGTTGGGACATTACTGCCCTCTGGTGGCTGGGAGTCGCATCTTTGCTCATTACGCACTGCAAAAACAATCTAAAAAAAATAAACATTTCTTAGATTAAGCACATTTAACCTTAATTTGAGCAAGTAGATAAGACGATTTGCCAATTGACTAAATATATTTACTCTTAAAATAAGATAATTAGATAATATGCACCTGAAATGATACAATGCAATTTCTTTTTTTCTTATTTTAAATGTAAATTGTCTCGTTCTATTGGCAAAGGGTCTCACTTCCTCAAATCAAGCATAAATGCACTTATTTTGAGAAAAAAAACTTTTTTGCAGTGCAGCCGGAGGATTCCAAGTGATTTTTGCAGCGTTTATTTCTTTTTCCTTTTTTGACTGCCTTGCTTGTTTTTTTTTTTTATTATTTGTGTGATTTTAAACATCGTGTTTGTTTGGCGTGTGATTGGTTATTTTAGCTTTTTTAATTGAATATTTTTAAATGTTTTTTATATACTGAAAATCACCTTCATGTACTGTGGCTTTGTTGGTTTTTGCATTTTCTTTCCTATTGATTTTTTTTTAATGTTTATTCACATTAAGTATCAGTTAGATTAGCTAAGCATCAAAAGGTAAAGCCCAACAGTGAAGCAAAGGATGCCTAAACAGCATCAGATTCACCCCAGCAGTCGATATATCTTCTAAGAATTCTTTTATTTTTTATTTAGAATAATTTATTTACACTACAAAGCTGTCGGGCTGTGCAGTAATGGTTATAAATGTGTAAATTAACCTTGATTTTCAGAGCAGAATGTATCCAACAACTGAAAACTTAAAAAAAGCAGCACATTTTTTTTTCTGTTTCTGGAAGTTTCTGATGAAAGTTTGTAATATTTAGAGTTTTCAGAGTGTAAAGACATTTTTAAAACATTTATGGAGGTGTCCCAATACTCACACTACACTCTATCAAGTCAGGCTTGGTGATATATGAAAACAATACTTTATATTAATATCCTGATTACCATAAAAGTGAAAGTAAAAAAAAAAAACTAATTACTTTGAAGACTTTCTTCACTCATTGAAAATAAACCCACTTCAAAAATCTTCAGGACACCAGATAAATAAAGTATGGTTTTTTTATCGAGCATCCCATAGAAACTGCATTTAATCGTATTTTTTTTTGGTTTAGCAACGACACAATTCGGAGGGGAAAAAATAGAGAAATATATATATATATATATATATATATATATATATAAAGAAAGTTCTGACACTTCATCATTTTTATTTTAAATGATCAATAATTCAAATGTATCATTTAGATAATTAATCGAAATTTTTATGACTAGACATTGCAGTACCAGACTTATCGACTCTCACCTCTGGGTTATAACTGCAAAGGTCGCAGTAACCAGAGTGTTTCTGCTAAAATACAACAAATCATTTGATAGTCATATATAGATTTCTGCCTTAAAGTTATCATACCCTTTTAATAAAGAAAATGATTAATTCACACTACTAATTCAAATAATCGCCAAGCTGAAGAGAGTAACAATCAAAATTTATCTTAATGACCATTTATTAAATATTTTTCAAATTCTGGTTAAAATAAATTCTATCACATATACCTAACTATTCATCTATTTATCTATATTTACAGTTAAATAGATAAATATATATATATTACTGGCGGCTGATTTTATACAGTAGAGTAAACGATGCATGATGTCAACACTTAAACTTCAAAACCTTATTTTTCTGCACAGGAAGTTACCAACTTCTGCATTAATTATGTTTTTGCTCATAATGTCAGATGCAGAAATGAATTGTAGGTAGAATACGGTGAAATCAGCTCGACAAGAGTGGAAGTAGGAGTATTGCTGCGCCTCCTTAAATGCTCACAGGTTACACCCACTGCTTTCATCATGTTTGCTACATGTTATGCTAAGCTAACATCTGGCCTACAGACTGCTGCTAAGCTTTGGAAGCCATCGCCGTTCATTTGCACACTGTCCCAGCTGATGGGTTTAACTTTTACTGGTTTATTGGTCGATAGGAAAGTGATTAGGATTGTTTTTTTTTGTTTCCAACTTTAGCATCAGACCAGTTTGAGGAGGACAAACCCATCACAACATTAGTGCAATAATGAAGATTGGAGAAGGAAAAAAAAAAGTCATTTAATGATTTATACTGTAAAGCAAATGTAAATCATGAGAAATGTATCCACATGCCTAAATGTATTGAAATATTTATTGAATCTCATATTTTAAAGATTTTTTCTTTTTTAAATGTACTTGATAAGAGTTTCTATCATTTCATTCCTCTCTGCTTTCCCATAACCAACAAATGTTTATTTTTCATTTCATATTAAAAGCACCAAAAATGTCTTTTAAATTTTGTTCTTTGTTGTTTTGTTTATCTTTATAAGTAGAAATTATAGTAAAAAAAAATAAAGCAGGTTTTTGTTAGGGTGAGAAATCCAGAAAATAGGTTAAACATTTTTCCTGCCTTTTAATGTGGCGTATAGCTTCATCAATCCAACAGAAAATCTAATTAGATTTATTGTATTTAATGATTATTTTAAAAAGTAATTAAAATACATGATTCTTACGGCCATTGGTGGAAAACAAAGGAAAATAGAAGCTCACATCAAGAGTTTTAATTAGAATCTTGTCTTTTCCTCCTCTTCATGCATCGCCTCGGCTCAGCTCACTATGTTTTTTTGTGATGGTAGGACAGAAATCCATCCGGAACAAACCGGTCCGTCTTCAGGTGGCGTCTAATGGTGGCTGGACGCTTTTAGCTGCTGAGATCTTTAAGTTTTCAGTCATCCTGAGTGATAAGATATAGATCTATGGCTATAGCAAAAAAATTACCTGCTTAAAATGAGCCAAATACTCTTAAATAAGAGAAAATTGTCTTATTTATAAAAAAGGAATTAGGCTTAAAATAAAATCATATTCTGGAGTTTCAATTGTTTTACTCAGTTACTAGTGAATAAAGCTAAATAAAACCTAAAAATATAGACATATGCAACTAGATCGAGTTTGATTTTTCTTCTGCAAAACCTTCTTGTTAAGGTTTACTTTTTAAAATCATTTTTAATATTTTAACAAACGTTTGTCATTTATTTCAACTACTGTTAAACTTACCAAAATGATACCAACTTAGTTTAATCTTTTTTTTTTAAACAAAGGACTTTTCTCCCACATTTGTGTGTAAACAATGGGCATATTTTAAAAGAATTTCCCAACTACTCTTAGTTTTTATTTGTAGCTAGAAACATGTGGTTGAAATATTTTAATATGGTTGAAGTTTCCAGAGATGTTTTTAAATTGCAGTTAGACCAGAGGTCCAATATTCTATTGGAAATATGGCATATATCAGTAGGAACAGAACTTATCTTAGTTGGATTTGTATACAAATAATTTAGAAAGGGGATTTTATTTGATTAATTTAAGAGTTATTATAGACAGGGTAATATTCTTTATTATATAGTATATTATATATTATATTATTAACATTTTTTATAATTTGTTGATTATCGCTTACAGATAGACAGTTCACTTTATCACAGAGGTCATGGATTAGCGGACTGCGGTCCGGACCCGACCTGATTTAAAACATTTATAAATGACATGTTCTCCAACGACAGTGTCTAACTTCACTTGCGCTGCTTCTCCTGTTAATACGGTAAAGCCTTCCAGAGCGTCCTGGACCAGGCTGCACGTGATCCACATTAGTCAATGAGCTGCTGTCAGTCTGGGTTGCTGCTGCTGCTGCTTTTAGACACAGCAGGCAAACCTGTGGCAAGCCGGGCGATGGGAAAGAAGGAGAAGATGATGAGAAAAAGAGAGCAGAGAAAGCGTGGACTGCTGGAAGAACTGTGGTGAACTGGTGAAAGAAAAGTGAAATGGTGCTCAAAGATGACACTGAACATTTAGAGGATGTTTGGCTCAACCTGCTGCTGTGAAGCAGGATTCTCCACCATGAACAGAATCAAAAATAAATATGGATCCAGGTTCAAAATGAGCTCCTTGATATGTGCTTTAGAATGGCTTTATCTCCATTTAAACCCAGGTTTAAAGCCTTGCAGGGCAGCATAAAGCCCACTGCGAACATTAAGACAGAAAAATAAATAAATAAAGGCCAGGAAATTGTCTACACTGGAAAAACAATCTAGAAAAAAAAAAAAATTCTTACATTAAGTGTATTTATCCTAAATTTGAGTAGGTAAATGAGATACTTTGCCAATGGATTGAGGCTTTTTACTCTTAAAATAAGATAATTAGATAATATTCATTTGAAATAAGACAATGAAATATTTTTTTTTCTTATTTTAAATGTAAATTGTCTTGTTCCATTGGCAAATTGTCTCTTTTACCTCCTCAGTCCAGGAAAAACTCACTTATTTTAAGAAAAAATTATCTAGATTCTGATTTTTTCGAGTGTATATACCAAACTGTGAAAGATTGTTCTCTACTTAAAAAAATGTAGATTTTAAGATGGAAAAACGTTCTATATATATATATTTTTTTTTTATATATATATTTTTCATTTAAAAATTCAATGTATAACATAAATGCCTGCATTTTATTTCAGTGTGAATGAAATTCTCTTTAAAGTAATGGACTTTAATTGAAAACTTTTCCGGAGCTTTACTAGTTGATGATTTTCTTTATCTGGACCCCGCTAATTTTTCATTGGTTGCCCCTGCTTTATCAGAAAGCAGACTAATACTGTATAAAGCAAATATCAGTTAATGTTCTACAGAATCCTGAAATACTCCTAAAGAGATGGTAGAAGGCAAACTGTCCTCCAACTTTAAGGAGAGCTGTACCATGGGTATTAATGGAAAGTTCAGTGGAAGGAAAAGCACCTGATAAAAGATACAAAAACCACAAAGAAAACCACTGTTTTAGGATTGGAAAGAAAAGCACCTTGAAGAGTTTAGAGAAACACTTGGGATAAAAAAAGTTTGTTTTTTTTAACCCAACCAGGAACCAGCTCCTTTGTCTTTCAATACTGATTAATCCAGATGTGTCTGTTCATCATCATCATCGTACTGAGGTCAGTAGCCCATTGTTTTCAACACAGACGGACGAGGAAATCCTTAAAGGAATAGTACACCCAAAACATAATAAGCCTTCATTTTCTACTCACCCCCATGCTGAACAACGCTCTGGAGTACTTTTTTGATATCTCAAATGCATCTGGAGATCTGGGAGGCTTCTTGCTGTCTGCTGACATTCAAATAATGGAGGTCTATGGCGCCCGAGGCAGAAAGGTCCATAAAAGTCCACAAAAAACGTGTCAATATTCCTCAATACTGCTCGTCCAATGTATTCCAAGTGTACTGAGTGGGTAGCGTCCATAATTTACTCGAAACAAAGTCATTTAGAATGTTTGTAGAGCATAAACAGTAGTGTATAGGATTTCCTAAACTCCAGAGTGTTGTTCAGCATTGGGGTGAGTAGAAAATGAAGGCTAATCATGTTTTGGGTGTACTATTCCTTTAAAGCTAAAAGTTAAAACTGAAATATGTTGGGGAATCTTCTAACATGGTTCATTCAACATATAATGTGAGATTAAAAAATTACAAATTGCAAAACTTGTAGATAATAGTATCCATCATGGCTGGTCCTCTGATACAGCTGATTCTCCAAAGTTATCCTCACTGCTCAGAATCTGGACACCAGGACACTGGAAAGGAGTCGTGAGGACGATCAGCAGGAGAACCAGAGCCCGGAAACATCTGCTGCTAAAGGAGCTCTGACCAAACATTACTGGATTTCCTGTAAAAATTGAGAAACTGAATTTTGGGCTTTTAGCTATAAACCTAAAAACCAAATGAAAATCTCAGTTGGCTGAATTTCCTGTAGCTATAAGATGAGTTTTCTGGGTAAAAAGGAGTCATAAACAGCTGAGATCGGATCAGGACGTCCCTAAAAGTTTAGGGAAGTGCGATTCCTTTAAAACAGACAAGAGACCAAAGCAGCATCTTCATCAGATTTTCTTTTAATATAAACTCAAAATTACAATTTGTTTGTATCAGCGTGTTTCTCATCCACAGTTACATTTTCTCAACTCAAATCCCTTTTTTCAGCAACAGTGGTACATCTACGCTTTTAATTAAAGTCGCCGCTAAGTTTGAACCCGAACCAAGAACAAGCCCTTAAACAGTGTCTGCGGGTGTACGTACCGTGGAACAGCGTTTCGTTTTTGGCAACAGGTAATCCCACAAGAAAAAAAAACAAACAAACAGAAAAAACCCAACAACCGTACCGTCAGTTAGCTACCGTTGATGCATCTCAGTGCCCAAGGCAACATCAGCAAGAGTTCAGATCTGTACAGGAGAACAGTATTTGGCAAAAGAAAAAACAACTTTCCTATTTTTCCCCGTTTCATTAATTTCCCCCCTTCAAACAAAACGATCCTCAAAGCCACACAACAAACGATAACATTAAATTAAACGACCTTTTGCATTTTTACAATGTTAATTAATCTAAATACTTCAGTAATAAATAATAATAATAATAAAAAAAGAGGATTCAATCATTGCACTTCCAAATGCGTCGAAAAGAAAGGAAATAATCCGATTCACCCATAAACACACGAAAAATTAAAAAAAGGACAAAGAACAGAATGAATAAAATCCTGCATCGCTTCAAACCAGGAGCAGGAAAATTACCTGAAAGTGAGATTGGAAAGAGTTCACAGACCCTCCTCTAATGTATTGCTCATAGGTTGTGGAGGAAAAGAAGACGAACTGAAACCCTTTGCTGGCAGTTTCTGGGATTATCTCTTAATCCCGCGAGCAAAGAAAGAAAAAAATCGGACTCGTTTGGAGCTCGTTGGGCCGATTTCAGTGAACGGTGAGGAAAACATAGAAGCGTGGAGTCGAGGCGGCTCCGGTGCGCCGTCGAAGCTCAAACGTTTAGCATATCGTGGTGGTCAGAAATGTAAAATCGAAGGTTTTCCAGATTGGAGCAAAGAAAAGGCTTCACTTGGCTCTTTGTAAACCATCTGAGTGCGCTGAGGTGGCGATGTCTGTGTACCCTTGATGCATCGAGTCATGTAAACTCTTAGAAAAGAAAAGAGATTATTCAAGTGGTGTCGGTGATGCTGAAGGCTCTCTAGCTGCCCTCCATCAGCTTGGCCAGCGTGTCGCGCAGCTCCGTCAGCTCGAAGATCTTGCTGTCCAGCAGCTCCAGCAGGGAGCGAAGGCTCTTCCTGTAGGCTTCCCGCTCCAGCTGGCTGCTCTCCAGGCGCAGCTCCAGGTCGTTCAGCTGTGCCTCCAACGTCTGGTTCCTCGACTCCGTCTCCTGGAACAAAGAGAGAGGGAGGTGGAAGAAGCTTTTGACAAACGAGGCCAAAACAACCTGTCGCTAGGA